TTTTTTGTTTCTGGTTCGGTAAATTTTTTAAATTAAAAAAGTGCAGCTTTTCTAAAAAACCATAATAATTTTATAAATTAATATTCAAAATTTTTATGTTATATTTATTTTTTAAATATTAAATATGCTTTTGTAAGTCAATAATGGTAAAATAATGCTTCATTTTCATTTTGGAAAAGTTTAGAARCGGGAACAACAAACAAAAGACTTGATTTTGTTATTTCCAAAATCCTAACACAATTCTAGAAACATTTCTTAAAAATGAGAAACAAGAAACACGAACAGCTACCAAATACYTATGTTTCTAAAAAGTGAAAGTAAGAAACAAGAACAAAAAACGAAAACATTATCAAGTGGGATATAATCGATTGATTATATAATACAACCTACYTTTAATAGTCATGTAGTTTGTTTAAAAAACATGAGTTTACGTAGCCTACGAGATTAAGAAATCTTAGATTGTCAGACCTAAACTCGACTTAACCATACCTCGAAACGCGCATATAATTTCATAAACCTTAGTTAAAGAAGAGAGAATAAAGAGAGTATTTAATGATAGAAATCCATCTTGTGCTTGGGAAGTTACATTAAGAAGATTAATTAATTAATTAATTATGGGAGTTTGCTAAGCAAATGAAAACATAAAATAATGAGTTTAAGAAGAGGAAGTTGAAGGAGTTTGGTCAGAGGTTTGAGATCATGTGGGCTTTTTCAACTGCACAAACCAAACCACAATCTCTCTCAAATCTTATTTGTATGGTGGAGACACAATATTATATGATTCACATAATAAATATTTTTTCTTAATCATATTTTGACATCTTTATAGGGGAAAAAATATGTTTTCCTCCTCCTCAAAAATATCGTTGGACTTCGGTTATATTTTGACATGATCAGTGCTTCTGTTATTTTACATCTTGTCTGGAAATCAAATTTATGCTCTGTACTACCATTTTGATTGAGTTGTTAATTATCTAGTTCATGATTTTATGTTCGTGTTCTTTTTGTTGTTTGTTCTGTTTTCTTAGTTTCAAGTGCCTATAACATTTGTCTCGACCATTTTTTTTTATATCCGTGAGTGTACGGATAAGTTTGCACGTACCTAACYCTACTACACATTGGTTGTCAAGGAAACACGTAGGAAATTAGTTCTTAGATAGGCTGGCCAATATGAGGTTAAACCCGTTCCCTCCAAATCCTTTTGATTCACTCAATAGATTTATACTACAGTTTAATGTTTTTTTTAGTATACAACATGTGGGGTTGGAAATTCGAACTCATAAATGTTTTAGTCAGAACTAGGTGATTTAACCAGTTGAATTATGTTCAGATTAACAACTACTTTGATATCTAATTATCATTTATTCTATGTTTTAGTAGTTGAATTTTACATTAAGTTAAAACTATTTTAGTTTTCGATATTAAATATTTCTTTTGTCAAATCATTTTAATAAAAATCTAGATCTGGTATTGAAAACTCAACATGGTAACCAAATTACATGTGATTTCAACCTTTTGTCTATGATGACATTTTTTCATTAGATAAATCAAACAAAAGGATAACACCATGTTGGATTTCTACTAAATAATTTTCATATAAAATTAATGCCAATAATAATTTGAATAACCTTTTATGTAAAATTCAACAATTATTTACGAAACAATATGTTTTAAAGCTTCGAGTTCAAAATAACACATAAAAATTTACGGGATTTTATTTGTTAATTTAAATTATTTTTTTTTGAAGTCTCTCATATAACTTATGAGTTTATTTTAAGAAATATCTATCAATACCGATACTTCAATTATATTTCATAACTAGTAGAGATATTCAATATTTTTCACGAACATCAACATTAAGCTCCATGTGATGAAAAGCAAATAGAAAACAAAAAAAAAATTCTATATATCGTGAACATCGACATTTTGTAATGATTTAGTCCCTATATTTTCATGACAAAGTGACAATTTAATCCCTAAATTTAGTAGGTAACAATTTATATTTAATTGTCGATTTTTATATATAACGATTTAGTCTTTGTAATTTACAAACCTGTTTGATTTTTCATCAATTTATAAATCTACATATATAAGAAACCCCTATTAAATCTTAAAAACATTTCGCACTATAGAGACTAAATTGTTACACGTTAAAATGCAGATAATGAAAAACTACCCCGATCTATCTACACATATTGAAATCTCCATATATCAAACAAATCTTCTCTCTCTAGCTACTAAAATACATATTGTTGTTTGTTGATGAACTAAACAATATGGGATTCAATGAATATGGGAATTATGTGATGAGATTGGAAAGCTAATTTAAAATAAAGTCATATGGAGAGATTACTATCTACCAAACACTTGTCTCCTCATACTATGAATATTTATTATTTGATTTGTTTTGTCAAATAAATAGATATATGCTTTAATTTAATTATTTGCCTTTGCCTCCATGCACCCAACCCTTAACCTAATCAAGACTTTCAATCTCTACCTTTATGAAACTTTGGTTTTTTTTTTCTTTAGCAAAAAAAAAATAAAATTATCATTTGGGCTGTCTCTTAATAATAATAATCAAGATTCATGAAGGATTTGTGAATTGTCTCTATGTGGGTGAAAATAATCATTTTTATTAGACTATGGAGATACATCTCAATTTCTATTAGTATCATAATCTTTCCTGAGCAAGAACACAGTGAAGAAAGAAGAAGAGATATTGAGACAACGACACAGTATCTCCTTAAATTTAAAAGAAATATATAAATAAAAAGTTAGAAGGTAAAATTTTGCTACTACTTAGTGTTGTTGTTTCTCTCTCGTTGCCAGCAATTTATTTCCCTAGCTTCGTTTGATTTCCCTTGCTCCCATTCTTTTTCTATAAGTCTTTTTCATTTCACAAAAAAAAAAAAAACGTTTTGATAAAAAGATGAGAAGTCTAAGTTACAGAGCAAACACATGACTAGTCAATTTTTGATAATAAATTCACATTTCAATGTCACATCATACATATTTTTAGAACATTACAAATAAAATTAACGGGTGAAAATTTTAACTCATGACTTTTAAGTGAGGTAAGTGAAGTCTTGGTTAGAGGGTGAGTTATCTCAACTCAACATGTCATATATCATATTTCCTTCTGCGTTTGTTTTAAATAATGAATTAATTGGAATAAACCGATATATTAAGAGTAAAATTAGAATTAGGAAAAAAAGAGAATGAAATTAAAAATGCCAAGGCCTCATTTTTATATCCAAACTAAAAATAATATTACATACTTCATAACGTTACAAAATAATGAAATGCATCAAAGCGAACAGTTGTAATTAGTATATATCCTCAATAAAAAAGGTGTGAGTTCGATCTCCCACCCCACATATGGTACTAAAAATAATAAAATTCAAAATAAAAAATAAACTCCAAGATCTTATATTGTAAATTTATTTACCAACAAAAACGACATTCTCATATTAAGTTATTAACCTCAATATATTTTAAACTAGTAAAAAAAAAATATTTTGATCTAAGGATCGTAAATTCGAATTTACACGTCAATTTATATATATATATATTATTTAATTATGTAATTAATGAATTTTTTTTTTACTATTTTAGTACTACAGATGTGGGTGGGGATCCAACGCCTGTTGAATTGTGTTGGTTTTAGTGTAATTAATGAGAATTTGGTTGGAAGAGAGACAATAAATAAAAGGAGATTATGAATAAATGCCTCGATTTGCGAGAAGATTTTGGTGAAAGATATAGTGGTCCAATGGTTGCCTTGCCATTGCTAAAGTTTTATTTGTTTATTTATTACCATTTTTAATTAATAAATAATAAAGTTTTTTTTTTTAAATGCCAAAGATAACTGAAACATTAAATAATTTTACCGCTGCGTCAGTTTTCCAATTGTATGTCCAATCCCTTTCTTCTTTTACCCGACAAAAATACATCTTTAATCAATTAAAAAGATAGATAAAATCCTCCATTTCCTTTCTCCCTCTTTTTTTTTTTGTGTGACTTGAAATTTGTTTATCTCTTATCTTAACTATTTGAATTGCATTCGTAATATAAAATTATCCAAATCAAACTTCAATACTAATTTAAGCATCAAACTCCCTTCTTAAATCATGCATATGAATTTTGTACAAAGAAGTAATAATCAAATGCAAGTGAGAGTGAGAACATTTTTTTGTTTTGATTTTCAAATGAAAGACCGATCTAAGGTGTCAAAGAATATAAGAATACATATATATATATATACACACACACTAAATTTAATTAGTAAGTAAGGTTAGAATAGAAATTGATTCACATTGCTAACCTCTTGGATAAAAATAGAAGTTTTTCCTATATTTTAATACACTTAAAAATTTATTGTATTTTTTAGAAGCTTTATATGTTACCATATGAATATAAGATTTAAGTATATAAGATTTAAGTATTGATTCAAGCATAACTAAGTAGATAAGTCATATATTACCATCTCAAAAGTTGACTGTTCAATCTCCCATCGTTGTTGCTATTAAATTTAGTAGATAAATCACCCTATCGAAATTTTGAGACAGACAAAATAATATGATGAAAGTCGTAATTTGGGTGCAAGGAAGTTATTGTATGTCATCGACCTCCATAGTAGAATCATTCGGGAGCCAAAGAGAAAGCGGTTTATCTCACGAAAGATATCAACATTCAAGTTCGCTTGTCGAATGCCACAATGACCACCAATCTAAGATACCAAAATCTTATGACCTTCCTAACAACCAAACATAAAACAAAAAATGGAATAATTAGAGATGCACATTTAATTAAGGAATTGAAATTAGTAAAGTAATTAGACGTTAAATAATTTTTGTGTTTGATAAGTGTACACCTCACATGGTCTTGACAACAAAATTAAGAACAGTCCTAATCTCGTAATTATCTCAAACTTCAACCCCATTTTCTTTTCCTCCCCACTTCATAACCCCCAACCAATCCCCAAACCGATTCCCCAACTTCCCAACAAACTTCTCCTTCTCCTTCTTCTTCTTCTTCACGATTTTCCCTCACTTGCCCGAGAAAATGTCGACCGGAATCGGAAAATCCAACAACATCCGCCGCATCGTCAGCATCCGCCAGATGCTCCAGCGCTGGCGCAAGAAGGCACGCGCAGCGGCCTTCCTAGCACCGCCGTCCGACGTCCCCGCCGGTCACGTCGCCGTCTGCGTCGGCAGCAGTTCCAGAAGATTCGTCGTCCGCGCCACTTACCTGAACCATCCGATCTTCCAGAAGCTTCTGTTGGAAGCGGAGGAAGAGTACGGATTCGTCAACCACGGCCCTCTCGCCATCCCCTGTGACGAATCCGTCTTCGAGGAGGTTCTCCGGACCGTCGCCGGCTCCGATTCCGATCTCCGGCGACACTGCCACGTGGCCTCCCGGAGTTCTCTCCTCCGTGAATCTCGGCCCTTGCTTTTTGATTACGCCGATAAATCCGTCTGCTGAACTAACTGAAAGCTTTCCAATCGGGCTGGTGACTCGGCCGACTCGACTCACTGGACTAACCTTTTTTTTTCTTTTGAAATTTGATTTTGAGTGAAACGAGGGAATTACGAGTTTTAAATTTATTAATATTTTGTTATAGGGGAGATGAGTTAACTCGGTCACTCTGGTGAGTGAGTCATCCCGAGTCGGGGATTATGAAGTTTGTTAATTACTTCTTTGTACATTGGGATACCATTATTTCTCCCTAATTTTACAAAAAAAGCAGAAATAATTTTATTGCCCTGCATGACATTGTTTACAAAATAACATACATTTTTAAGTTCGAATTAGAAAATTCCAATTAGATGACGAGGTTTAGATTATGCTTCAATTCACATTGTGTGTGCAATGTCACGTCATTTTTTAGTTTCACTTCAAGTAAATTTAGCACCGTAATTTTAACCCTACATTACGCCATAACAAACTTTCATAAAGTAATTGAAAATTTTAAAATAAATTTAAGTGATTTTTTTATATTATATCCATAAATAAATTTAAGTAGTTAAAAAAGAAAATAGTCGTTAATGCGGAGAATGCATTTATAAAATTTAGAATAAATTTAAGTGATTATGAAATTTCAAACATGATTGATATATTTAGCTTTTTAGTTGAAAGTGAGAGATAATATTTGTGGGATAAAAGAAAAAAAATATAACAACAGACAATTAGACAATTGGGTCATGGAAAGTCAAGATGGAGTGAGTGGTAATGTTTGGATTTTTGAAATTAAAATATGAAAAAAGTGCAGCCATTGTCCTTTCTTTGCAAGCCACTAACTCATTTTTCTCTCTCTTATTATTTCATTAAATTAATCATTAATTTTAGTGGAAATAAAGTTTGTATTTTCCTAACCATCACGAATTTCTTTTTTTTTTGGTAGTAAATGAGTATGATTGAGACATGTCAGCTTTTAATATTTTACATAAGTATATTAATAATATAATCTAAATTTGAGTAAAGTTGGTTGGAGGGTAAAATCTTACCTATCGCGTGATAGATCGAAAGATCTTTCTCAAGGTGCGCAGATAAGATACGCATACGGACCTACTTAATTATAGTCCGACCTATGAATGAAGCTCGAAAGGAAAACAAGATCTTAGCTAAGATACTACCTTACTGACCTACATCCTTTCCGACCTATGGTCGGACAACCTTAACCGCCCGTTAGAATTGTCATGACCACATTATCTCTCACTACTCGTCTATAAAAGGACACCTACTAACTTAGGTACGCAATTTTATCTGAAGTTGATGATCTATTGAGTTCAAACTCGGATTGGTTTGAGCTTCAAAATAAAATTTGTTCCTTATTTGTAGATCTTCTCTTACATAGCCTGGTCCTCCATAACTCGTCTGGATACTTGGCATAGCTCAAAATCAATGAAGAGGTGTAAATGGGTCGGTTTGGGTCGATTATTTATTTATTAATTATTAAAATTGATGTTGAATTAATTTATTAATTTTATGAAATTTTTTTTATGTCAATATCATTATTTAAATTAGACAAGCTACATATTTTTTTAGTTCTATGTTAAAAAAAATTAGGGGACAAATATGATCATTCAAACTAGATTAACTAACTTATTCAATTTTTTTTTCTCAAAGGTTCCACTTTTAAGTTAGTATTTTTTAAACATAATTTTTATTGGAGGAATAATTTTAATTATTTTTTTAAAATGTCATTTATAAAACAACTTAAAAGAAACTAAAATATACATTCAACATTCTTGGGATTCTATCTCTTTTTCCTTTTCTCTTTTTTCTTTTTCCCATCTTTCAATTTTTTTTATATTTGTAACACATAGTTGTGTGACACAATGAATGCCATACCACCATTGAATAAATTCAATAAACTTTATGGCCAAAGGTTCAGACCACATTTCATGAACTTGGTTTACTTTAATTTATATTATATACAAAAAAACCAAAGTTATTTAAAAAGAAAAAGAAAAAAAAGAAAAAGAATCTTTCACTTAGTTTATAAAGAAAAGTTATATATAGCTATCTTAATGATAAATGTATATTAATTATCGATTGCAGTTGGTTTCACTACTTGATTTTACACCTCATATTTCTAATGAAAAAGGTTTTAAGTCATTATCATTTCATTTTCAAATTATTCATGCAAATTGCAGGATCATACAACACAAGAACGTGATTGGTCGTTTATAAATATCTATATTGCAAGTTTGTTGTTAACTTGCAGAAAGATCTAAAAGAACATCGATGATGGGATCACTCCATGAAGTTAACATTGACGCTAACAAGATTGATTATTTATTAGTAATATATATTATGAAAGCTTTGAATATGCCACATTTGTTTAATTGAAGGAAGAGCTTGAATTATTGATTTTGGAGATAAGCTTTAATTTTTTTTTATTAATATCTCTATTTTTTTGGTTATTAATTTGATAGACTGATTATGATTTTAATTTTGGAGATAAGCTTCAGCTTGACAGACTGATTGAGATGTTCCCAAATTATTGCAAGAAGGGACTTTATAAATTATAATCACATAAATTATTTGAATTAGCTCTTTAAGAAGATGAGGCGAAGCAAATATTAAACATGTATATTATTCTTAAAGCTTAATTAAGATTATTATTGAAATGAAAAGTAATGTCTTTGAGCCAATGAGCAGGTGCCACCTAAGAGTTGGTGGGTCCCAATTCATGGGAATAAAGCACCTTAATTAGGGTTAAGATATTAAATTTAAAATTAATTTGGTGGGTCAAGTCCCAAATGGGCTGCAACCAGCTAAGTTTGGAGAATGAATGAGCTGTTGGCCTCTAAATGTTGGACTTTGAGGCTTTTGTATGGCCCTCTCCCTTTCAAAGCCAAGCATCTAAACCTTCTTTAGAGGGCCCTTTTGATACCCCTTGTTTTTTTTTTCTTTGAATCGATATCGTGTGGTTTATGCTAGTAGATCTCYATAATTAGAGTTCGTTGTTTAGGCTGAGTAACACTGTAACGCTCGAGCTCGAACTTTTGAGACCTCAAAGTTGGTGATTCCTCAACACCCCAAACATTTGTCAGTGCGCCATCTCCTAAATGACCCTTTTGATATTTCTTGTTTAAAAATATTACCCTGTTATTCTTTCTGTGGGTGGGTTAGAAAATTAAACTTATCATGATCATTTAATTTTAAACTTAATTAATGTTAGAGACCTTTTATTCTATTATGTCGATTTTAACGTCTATCTTTGAAAAATAGATACATGACTGGACTGTGGAGTTAGAGACATTGGTGTGGTGCTGGTTTAAGAAGCTTAGAATTTAACTGTAAGAGATATAGTGAAACTCATGGATGGACGAGTCAATCAAAGATGGATGGTGTAGGTACGCTTTTCTCATGCCTTGAAGGATGGTTGATGGCAAGAGTTGATCACAATTCGTTTACAACAAAAGCTCGAAGATCATAATGGTAGGAAGAGGTAGATCCTAATTCATTTACAGGAATCGTTGAAGATGCTTAGTGTCATGTGCTAAAATAAATCGACTAACATTTGTGTTATATCTCTCATTTAGTATAAGCAGATCATACTCTCTTTGAAAATTCGAAGAATTTATTCTACTCGAGATGAATTTAGGTAGAAGCATCCGAAAAGGTTTGAGCACATCGAGTCATAGTCTTTGAAGGTCTCGAGTACTAGAAGGATGATAGACTAGACATAGTTAAAGCTTTTACATTTTTTTTGTTAATTAGATCATAAAGTTTGACAAAAAAGTTTGGTTGGCCAAAGCCAAAACATTCTTATATATGAGAAAGTTAGACCAAAATTACGACTTATGTGGCTAAATACTATTGGTTGTAAGCATGTTTGGTTGTTTAAATCTTCGTTTTTTTCCCATAAAGTTTCATCTATTTGAGCGTGATTACCACTTACCACTAATTTGATGGTTTTAATTATTTATCTTTTAATTAAGATGTTTTATTTTTTAAAATAAAAATGTACATATATATTATTTAGAATTAAGATTTTTTTTTCTTGAAATTAAGACTGTTCAAATTAAACTAAATAGAAGACACATGAACAAAAACCATATAATATATATATATCAATCAATAATAAAGAAAATTGGATTATTCACCTTATTGAAAGTGACCTAGTTTGGTTTATTTAATTAAAGGCATGCACATAACTACTCAATTATTGATGTTTTTATGTCTTTTTTTTTTCAATATGACAAGCTTAATTTGTATAAAGAACAAAATAAAATCCAAATCGTCATGGTGAAAAATTATCCAAACGTAAAAAAGGTTTTTTTTTTTTATTTTAAGTTTGAATAATTATGGAGACAAGGGATAAATTTATAATTAGTCATTTTTTAAGAACATTATATGAAAATGAGAGGTGAGATATATATAAATGCCTCTAACTTCTTGAACTATGTTTAGATCAAGTAATTTTTTATTCTTCTTTTTCTCTCCATTTATTCTTTAACATGTTAATAAAGAACCTAATTCTTAAAACAAACGAAGTTACTATTCCTTTTAAATTTTCATAAACAATATCTTTCGGTTCAATATCGTAACAGTATGATAACCAAACGCTTGGTTGAGAAAAACAAGAACATAAAATTATTTTGATAACAATAACAATTTCCAAGCCAAAATTTAGATAACCCATTCTCTTAATTTATAAACAAACTCTACACATGACATTATTCATGAAAAACTAAACTTACATCAAGGAAGAAACATCGTGTTAATTAAGCTAGCTTCTTCGACCAACTTCTCACATCTCTTCGATAGACCCAATAACGAAGCTCTACTAGCAAGAAAATACATGGGAAAGTGCATTCTTCCCCGTTCGATGTGGGTGATTATCTCTGTAATTTTGCGTTCTTGAATGAGTGCTTGAACTTTCTTTTGCTACAGTGATGATTTGTATCAGGTCCGAGACTCTATATGACTTAAAATATAGAAAAATGAGAAGAGAGATAAAGTCAAGAAGAGAGAGAGATATGAAAAACTATTAGAAAATAAAATGAGACAAGAGATACCCTACCATTTTGTTGGGTTTCCTCTTCCAAAGTAAAATAAATAGGCACAAAATAGAGGCAGCATGCAATGTTGCCTTTCTCCCCATAAAACAAACCCCACATCCATCTCTCTCAAATAACACTCTTTTCTTCCTCATTGTCTTCTCCCATTCATTTCTGTATATCAACAAATTATACTGATTTTAGACTTTCGTTTCTAAAGTCTCTTGATCTTTTTGATGTGAGATCCTTAACATTATTGAGCAACTGATTTAAACTTTCTTTCACCGCAATCGATTGGGGTAGGAATCGGGAAGAACAAGTAAAATATTATTGCTTTTTCTAAACTTGGCCCACGTGACACATGAATGAAATTTTTTTTGTCATTTTGTTAAACACATTACACATCCATCAATTACGGGTTTGAAAAGAAACTACACAATTTGAGATCACGTGCATAGGTCAAGTACAAAATATAGGTAATAATTAGAACCATTGAAAATAAAGGGAGAAAAATTTGCCCAATAACCTAGAGAAATTGGAACTGGAACTAGTTAAAACACCTATCTCCGACTGAAGGTTGTCAGTGAGTTCGAATTTCGCCCCACCTCCACGTCATGTTCAAAACTAGAAAAAAAGGGAAGAGGGTGAAGCTAATTAAAGATATGCCTTCCACCTCAAAACCAAATTTATACGTTTTTTCAAAGACTGAAATATAAGGGGAGGCCTAATTGGTATGCAATTATTGATTTCCTGAATTTGAATCAAATGAATCATCTTCGATTTTAGTGTTTTCAAATTTTAAATTTGAAACTAGTTTAAAATGCATAAATACATTAAAAAGAAGATAAAAAAAACTTTGATACTTATAAACTCATTTTATTTTTCTTAAAATTAAAACAGGTAAAATAAAATATATTATAATTTATATGATATTGTAAAACAATAATTCTGCAAAATTTATTAAAAAATGTTAATAAATTAATTATTATTATTTTAGATTGAAACTAAATATTTAATCAGTAACTTATAAATATATTATTAAATTAAAATTCAATTTCTAAATATATTATTAAACACGTATTTGAAAACACTGAAATAAAACATAAACTGCTTTTCATTTGAATGCGATTTATGTTTTCAGATGACCCATTAAACCAATTTTGGGAGAAAAATAATTTAGAAGCAGAGGCGGAATTGAAGGCAATCAACAAACTTAATTAGCGCAAGAAAAGAGAGTCAAATAAAGGAGCATAGGTGATAGGTGCACATGCAATAATATATATCATAAATATTAACTACCTTATCCAACTCTATCAATCCTCATAAATTTATTTTTTTATTTTATTTTAGTTGCTATGCCTTGACTTGGAATTTAGATGGGTCAATTTCAAAAACCTCAATTTATGTTTCTAATTTTTCCTAATATATAAATAATATTTAATTTTGGAGTTCTTATGATTGAGCCACCGAAAAGGAAGGTGCAACTTGTTGGTATAGATAGTGAGTATCAATTCTTTTAAGCTTTTATTGACCATTCTTCCATGATCTCAAGATTTCTCTCATTTGGATGTGATATCGGTTCATTCATGTACCCCTCCTTTCTAGTCGGGCGTCACAATTACAACGGAATGGTTGTATAAAAACTTGAATTATTTCAACAAAATGTCTGTATAAATTAAAATGACTCGTAATTTCATGATGGCCAGGTTATCTATATAAGAATAGTGTTTATTTGGTAACCAAATGTGGTAGGATCAGACGATTGTATGATTTCGCGATCAATTAACTCGTGATAAATCAAACTTACATCTTGATTTTTGAAAGAGAGGTTTGAAAAGGGTTATAAAAGGTAGTTATAGAGAGTTTGAGGTTGAATACATATGATTGAATATTATTATTAGTGTGAAAAGAGAAAAATAAAAAAAAATTGGAAAGTTGATAGAAAATGGGGAGTGGGGACAAGGTGAAATTGAAGACAACTGGAAAATATGAAGGGTAAAGGCATAATAATTAATAAAATTTGAAAAATCTCTCTCTTCTCTTTGCACTGAATAATTATATTGATGGCTTTAGACATCTTGTCCCCATCTTATTTAATTCTCTTTTCTTCTTCCCTTTTACACATACCAAACCCTAGAGAAAGACATCATTTCATTAATCATTCTTTTTTAATGCTCTACGGTCGATTTTTTGATTGATGATATATATTTTAATAAGCTAAGTTATGTTCAGGTTGACAAATTTTTTTCTTTTTTAATTATCGCTCTTATAACTTAATCTATGAAAAATTCTATTTCTATAATTGAACCATAATCAACTTAAATGGATGGTTAAGTTTAAATTATTGTCAGATTGAACATAGCTCAGCGTAAATTGGCATACATCTCCAATCAAGAGGTTGTGAGAGTTCGATCTCCCACCCCCACATGTTGTACTAAAAAAAAGTTTAAATTATTACCCTTTTGTTATTTCTGTTTTCAAAGAATTTGTGGTTTTTTAGTTGAGTACAAGGATTTGAACCTCCAACTTCTGGGAAGGTAAGTAATGTTTTAACAAGTTGAATTGTACAGTCARTAATTGTAGCTATTTTTTCTTTTTCCTGAGTTTGACAATAATGTGGGTGAAGAGTCAAAATCTTCGACATTTTTGTCACTGATTATATATGTCTTAACCCGTTGAGTTATACATGTAAAATGCTAATATAGAAAAATGAGATTTTTAGTATTAAACATTCTAACAATTCAAATAATCGTTTTGTTAACCAATATATTTATAAATAATAAAATATACAAAATATCTATAAATATAAATACTATATATCAAAACTGTGAACCTGAACTTAATTCAATTGATTGATGCACATGTATCTAACAAAGAGATCGTGAGTTCGAATCTCTAAATTGTATTAATATATATATATATATATATATCAAAACTTTTTAAATATTCTTTTTGATTTTTCTAAACAAAATAGAACATTTGACCTACGAAGTTGAAAAACAATATGAAAAGAAAAAGAAAAAGAGAAAAGTAGTCGACAACAAAGAATGCTAATGATTCACCCCAAGGAGGATTTAATTTGAAACAAGATGATTAAAGGAATATAAATTATATAATATATTAAAATTGAAAAAGGTGATAAATAAATAAATACATAAATATATATATTCATAATTGTATTTTTGTTAATATTTATCATAAGTATAACGTACTTAAATGAGTTACTTTCTTTAGTAATATTTAAATTTGTGACCAACACTTACCAAAAAAAAAGGTAAATAATGGTTATACATGGTAATTAATCGATTAGTAAAATATTGTTTTGCAGTTTTTTATGTTAAAAATTATTTCTTTAATTGTTTTACAACTCAACAGCATTCAAACAACTTCAAAGTTTCGTTTATTTTTTTAGGAAAAAAAAAACTACGAGTAAAATTATTGTTTATAGTAATAGTCCATTTTTCAATTTCTTCATCTGCTAAAATTTTAAATTTTATTTACATAGTCTCCACGGCTTTGCTTTTGGTTTCACCCAAAAGGTCTCACACCAATGGGGATAATTGTCTCTCTTATATACTCATGATCATTCMTTTCCCTAACCAATGTGGGACTTTGTTTGCAATCACCTTACAAACCCAACAGATACAAAGTCCTTTATATACACAACTTAACTATACACAATAAGCAACCATAATAGAAAACTAACTAACTGACTATAGTTAGAGTCTAATACTCCCCTCAAGATGGAGCAAAAATATCAATCAATCCCATCTTGGACACAAAATTGTCAAGCACAGCAGCAGACAACGGCTTGGTGAAAGCATTGGCTAATTGCAAAGAAGACCTGATAGGGAGCAGTCGAATGGAGCCATCAAGAAGCTTTTCTCGAACAAAATGACATCGAGATCAATGTGTTTTGTGCGCTCATGAAAACTTGAGTTAGAGGCAATATGAATGGCTGCATTATTGTCACAGAAAAGAAGAGCGGGAGGCACAAACGAAACCTGCAACTCAGTTAAAAGATGGATCAACCAAATGATTTCACAGGTGGTGGCTGCTAAGGCACGATACTCTGCTTCTGCTGAAGACCGAGAGATGGTGGATTGCTTCTTAGTTTTTCAAGAAATCATAGAATCATCTAGAAAAACACAAAAACCAATGGTAGACTTTTGATTGTCAACACAGGATCCCCAATCCGCATCTGAAAAAGCTTTGAGCTGGAAAGAATTAGAGGCAAAAAGAAAAATGCCACCACCAGGGACCTTCTTCAAATAACGCAAAAGATGATAGACTGCTGCAAGATGCTCTTTGCCCAGACGAGAGACAAATTGGCTGAGTTTGTGGACTGGAAATGTAATGTCAGGACGCGAGATAGTGAGATACAAAAGCTTACCAACAAGCTTTCTATATAAAGTAGATCCGTCGATGAATCCTAGTTTGTTCTTCACCAACAAAGCAATCAACATCGATCGATTCCACGATGTAGTTTTCTTCGGTGAGTAAATGAGTAACTAGAACAAGTCCTGTATTATCGGTATAATGGAGATAATACGGACTGAGAGGTGAATCAACGCTCGCCGAAGGTATAGAAGAAGACTGAGATCCAGTCGAAAGCGCCGGCGATGGTGGTGAAGGCGGTGGGGGATTCACCAACGAAGCATCTTCGGGAACTGTAGGCATGATTGAAGCGGTGGAGAAACCAAATAGTGCGCGTGTGAAAAAATTTAGAGAATTTCTAAATTTTTCTCTGATACCATATTAGGCACGTGAGAGAATAATGTACTGATATTCTCATTAAATCAAGGAAGGATACAAAGTCCTTTATATACACAACTTAACTATACAAAATAAGCAACCATGATACTAACTGACTATAGTTAGAGTCTAATACTCTTTTTTTTTTTACGAGAGGCGACATTTTTTAACCTTAACTATCCATTCCACTTAAAAATAAAAATAAAAATAATAATAATACATTTTATATTAAATATAAAAAATCCGACCCGATTACTAGAAGAAAACAAATAGTTGTACAACCATTTGGAGATCAGCTAAGCTACCTTTTTACAAGTCCTTCTATTATTAAACTTAAAGTTTGATATTATATCGAGGATAGTCTTTCAAAAAAAAAAAAAACACAAACAATTTTTTTTATCAAATAGGATGATGTGTTGGATCAAAAATTTGACCAACAAGTTCGGACTCGGATGGCCGACGAATAGAACCTGTATAGAGAGGTAAAAGGCTCCGATGCTCAAGTCATTTCAAATTCGATTTATACCTAAACAGAGAACTGTTTCAGTACCTCAAAAAATGAATTGAAACTCTCTATTTATAAGATTTGGGTTTCTGACATCATTTAGAGAATAGTTGCGATCGTCCCATAAATCACAATGTGTTGTCAAAAAAACAATTAAGGACCAACGACTATCTATGTTGCGATACTCGACTCGTCCTTTACAAAGGTTAGCCACTAAGGTCTTCGTTGGTTTGGTCGGCTCGACCTTTATGAAGTTTGCGGCGATCAATAATATATAGCATCGAACCTGTCGAACTAGTTATTCTCCTTGGAAGAGTTTAACTTTTAGACTATGTCATTACAATAACTCATTACTCTCCGTCTCCGACCTATAGGATGTTGACATGTAGCATCCAACAGATCATACATGAATGGTAAAAAAAAAATAAAAATTGTGGATGAAAAAAATGAGGCAAATTTTAGAAAGATAAAGAAAATGACAGCAAAAAGAGAGTAAATAAAAAAGAGGACCAGAAAGCAAAACCACCTTAAGGCCAAGGCTTAGCTTTCTCCCAAATGGTCCTCTGATTCTGTGAGGAAAATGGCAGAGATTTTGTTCTATCAAACTCAGTCCCCCCAAATAAAAACTATTTGGTTCCACCACCACATGCTCATCAATTTTATTTAATGCCTCCCCAAAAAACAAAAAAAATATATATATATATATATGTAGATACAATTAATTTGATATATAATTGAGTTGTTATGTTTTGTCTGGTTTACGAAGTATTACAGTGTTTGTTTTAGTAGCGTTGTTGATTTTGATCTTTTTGGTGCTGCTACAAATTTATTGGCAGGTCTCTTTGCTCCTTTTTTGTACACTATGTATTTAACCCACCTTACGAAGATCCCTTCCTTTTGACCTAGGATCAAACGGTAACTCTAGATAGATGTAAATTAATAACACCCAAAAAACCATATAAGAGAAAATTATAAAAATCTGATATTTGAATCCTAACCTCGTTGAGCTAAAAGTAAGATGGTGAGTTATATTTTGCTTGAGTTGGGCTCAAATTGGCTTTGATACTTTTTAAACATGGTTCAAATTTTAAATATGAATAATGAATATGTGTTCAATTTAAAAGATAAAATTAAAAAAAATGCAGAGGAAAAGAAAAAAAAATTATGCATTATATTGTTTTTCTAAAATATTGAAAAATAGTAACAATCATGGGCATGATTGGTGGGAATTCCACCGACTCTCCCCAACGGGATTCTTTTTCTCTCACATTATTTTATTGAAAAACATACCCTAATTTTTCTTTAGAAGAGAAAATTTTGAGTTGGTATGATGCAAATTTATCTTCAAATGATGTGAGAGTGGAATCTTATTCTCAAACCAATCAAGTTAAAGTTTTAATCAAGTCGATGACACGTTCTAATAATTTATTAACGATGATCATCATTAAAAATATGAAGGAGATTTGATCATTCGAAAAAAAATACTAATATTTAATTATTAAGTTATGATATCACAGTTATATTCATTAATGATAGTTCAATCGATAAATTTTAATATATAACATTATTTTGTCAACGTACATATAGTTCAAATGATAAATATTAATATTTTTCTTGTTAGTTTTTTCTTTTTGTTAGTACAACAGGTACGAGGTCAGATGATGAACCTCTAACTTCTAAAGATTGAATAAATCACTTTCTTTACCTTTAGAATAATATTCTATAAACAAATAAAAAAAAGGTAAAAATGAAGCATTATTCAATTACTAGATTAAAA